CAATAATTTGCAATTCATGTACTTGGGGTAATAGAGGAATGTTGTCTAAAAATTTGAAATAGAAGTACTTACAAATTAAAAACTTTTTAGTACCTTCTTCTTTAGCCTTGTACTTGTTCTCAAGAGCATACCAAATTTCTTTTGCAGATGTTGTGTTGGTGTATAAATCATAAAGACGATCTGACAATGCATTCAAAATATGACCACGGCATATAAGTTCATCTTCTTCACTCTTCTTCCGGTCCACCCTTGTTTGTTCGGTGTCTTTGTCAGATGGTTCGGGTAGATCTTCCAAGTTTGGATCAATAATGTAGAAGATTTTGAGCGCCGTTAACAAGAATTTGATCTTGTCTTGCCACCTTTTAAAGTTTGATCCATCAAAATGGTCTAGCCTCACCAAGTCTTGATTCATAAGTTTGATTGTTGCCATGGTTGTATCTCCTTCGGTTGTCATTGTACAATAATAAAGCTTTTAGATTGTTGATAAATATTTCAGTTGAAGTAGATAATAATACCTCCAATGATAATACAAATAGAACTCAAAAAATATATGTAAAACACAAAACAAAGATGGAAGAATAAGAAGAGAATGAAGAAGACTTGAATCACATAGAATGCTATCCTAAAAGCTTTATTTGCGCCATCTCGATAATGAGAATGCTAAAGGACCAACACACAAATAGTTTTAGCAGATTTCAAGTCAAGAAATCGAGTTGCAATTAGCACTATTGAAACTCGAAAAGAAGGAACAAAAAGAGTATGAAAATAATTTTAAGTATAATTTGAAAAATTTTCGGGATGATAATTTAAAACAAAGATATCTGTTTTTTGAGGACAGATGGGTGTGGCGGTAAGTTGTTGTGATGGATTGGGGTAATGGCGAGCGGCTGTTGTTCCACTGGTGGTGACGAACATCGATGATGAAGTAGTAGTGGCATGAATTGTGACTCGATAAAATGGGTAAAAGGATAGGTGGGGTGATGTGAGGCAGAGTGGTGGTGTAGTATATACATAATTTAGAAAGAATAAAATTAAAATTTGATTTTTTTTTAAAATGGTAAATTAAAAGTATGAATAGGTGTAATTTTCTCTTTAATTTTGACCTATCATTTAATGTCATTGTATAGCCACATAGGGTGATGATCTATCATTATAATAACAAATAGCATTACTCTTAATAATTTATCTTACATAAATATAACTATAATAACAATGGCTAGTCGAAGTAGAAAACAAGCAAAATGTTGGAAGAGTAATTAATAAAAAAAAAAGCTGCACAATCTATTTCTTTATGCAACTTGTATAATTCTCCATCTTTTCCTTTGCTTTCAAGTGCCGGAACCCGGAATTCTTTTTGAATAATTAATTTTTTTTTTTTTCTGATGCTTTATTTATTTATTTTTTATTTGGAATTCAATACTTAATTTTAAGTATACTTATAAATATGCATAAGAAATTGGATTTTATAAATTTTATAAGTAATCAACCACTGTTTTTACTTGCACATCCAAGGCAATATCGGTTTGAAATCCCACCAATGCTCAAATCTGCTTCTTTTCCACCATTCACATTGCATAATACCTAACATATATTTTTTTAATCTTTATATATTCTTTTAGGTCTTTACAATAGACAAACCATTTCAAATGTATTTTTTGGTCAAATAATGAGAATAGTTTCTACCTAATTTTTTTTCTTTCAAGCAATATGGAAGTTACATTACATGACATGGGCAGGGTTGAAAGCAGAAACTGTTTCTGCAAATTTCTCTTTCTTACAACCACAAATCACGCCAAGCAAACGACAACATCAGAAAGACTAAACGACAAGAGTAACGTTGGACATAAGTTCACGGGCTAATGTATACGCAATTGTATTATTGCTATATATAAGCACTATACAAGAAGACGATCCTCAACCGTAAACATAAGATGGAGTTTTCAGGAAGTCGTGGAAAACCTCAAGTAAGTTCATTCTAAACTCATTACTCCTTTCATTTCCTTCTAAAAAAAACTTTAATTGAACTGGTTTAACGTGTAAAATAACAAACTAAGTCTTGTTTCTGATAAATTTCGGATCGACTTTATTTTCAAGTCAATTTCACAGGTAATTCATATAGTTTTACTAGTTTTTGCTACGATTCTGCTACGATCAAGAAACGTTCAAGGGAGGCATGTTCATCACCTCGATTACTTCGAGTACTCTGCTATAAGTTGCAGGGCTCACAGTGCAGCCTTGACAGATTTTGGAGGTGTTGGAGATGGAACAACGTCAAATACTAAAGCTTTTCAGGCAGCCATTGATCATCTCAGCCAGTTTGAGTCGGATGGTGGGTCGATACTTTTTGTTCCTCCAGGAAATTGGTTGACCGGAAGCTTCAATGTCACCAGTCATTTCACTCTATATCTCCATAAAGACGCTGTTCTTCTTGCTTCTCAGGTTTGCCAATTCTATCAGCAGTTCAGCAATATTCAAGCCTGCTAAGATTAATTTAGAAATAAGTGAATAATGCAAATGATAGAAATGATTCATGTAGTTGACCCAACTTTATGAAAAAGAGTCTTAATTTATCCTAATGCAGCATCTTATGAACTATGTGTAGGATGAAAATGAGTGGGCTGTAATAGAGCCTCTACCATCGTATGGTAGAGGAAGGGACACGGAAGGTGGAAGATACATCAGTCTCATTTTTGGTACCAACCTCACTGATGTAGTAATAACAGGTAGCAAGCAAATCTTTAAATTGGTTTTCGAGAAACGGAAAATCATATCATTGACTCATAAAACGGCTTATGCAATCTGATTTCAGGCAATAATGGCACAATTGATGGTCAGGGTGCTTCCTGGTGGGACAAATTTCACAGGGGAGAATTAAAATACACAAGGCCATACCTGATCGAAATCATGTATTCTGATAGTATTCAAATATCGAACCTCACACTCGTTAACTCCCCGTCATGGAATGTTCATCCTGTATACAGCAGGTATTGTGTTAAATTCTTCAATGTGTTAGCCTTTGAGGGGATATGCATTGATGCAAATTATTTGATTTCCTTTTATGAAATGCAGTAATATTATAGTCCAAGGCATCACGATCATTGCACCTGTCACTTCTCCGAACACAGACGGTATCAACCCAGGTAAAAAAAATGATATTCAACATTTCTTAGGGCCCATTTGGCTTCGGCTTCTGCTTTTTGTAGAAAAGCTTCATGGGAAAAACATCTTAAACCAATTTTCTCTAAAAGCTTTTCTAATCATATAAAGCACATCCACAAAATTATCCAAACAGCCCCAAGAAAGACTTTTAATCTGAGAAGCAGCTTTGGCTTTTCAAAAGCCTTTCAAACGGGCAATTAGGACCAGATGAAAGGAAGGGAAACAGATTCAATTTTGTCTCTTCATTGATACATTTCATTTTTTTTTTTTTTTTTACGATTTTCAGATTCATGTATAAATACTCGAATTGAGGACTGTTACATTGTCTCCGGAGATGATTGTATTGCTGTTAAGAGCGGTTGGGATGAGTACGGAATTGCTTTTGGGATGCCCACAAAGCAACTTGTTATAAGAAGGCTCACTTGCATTTCTCCAGACAGTGCTGTTATTGCCTTAGGAAGTGAAATGTCTGGAGGAATCGAGGATGTTAGAGCTGAAGATATTCTAGCCATCAATTCAGAATCAGGAGTTAGGATCAAGACCGCAATTGGACGAGGAGGGTACGTGAAGGATATATATGTTCGAGGAATGACCATGAAAACCATGAAATGGGCATTCTGGATGACAGGAGATTATGGTTCTCATGCAGATAATAACTACGACCCAAATGCACTTCCCGTTATTCAGAATATCAATTACCGGGACATGATTGCTGAGAATGTGACTATGGCAGCTAGGTTGGAGGGAATCTCAGGTGATCCATTTACAGGAGTCTGCATATCTAATGTTACCATTGCGTTGGCAAAGAAAGCAAAGAAAGTACCTTGGAATTGCACAAACATTGAAGGGATTTCGAGTGGTGTGGTTCCTCAACCCTGTGAACAGCTACCAGACCAGGGATTAGAGTATATTTCAGCCTGTAATTTCCCAACAGACAGCTTACCAATTGACAATATTGATGTGCAGACGTGTTCTTACAGGAGGAAATATTCATTGGAGTCTGTAATAAAACATGTATAATTGAAATTCTTCAGACTTCTGAGTATGAAGAACAAAAGATTTAACAGTAACTTTATGATGAAAGGCATACCTGGAACTCAAGTCTCAACTCAAGCAATCATGTATTCACACACTTTGGCTCAAAATAATTTCATCCACATTGGAAGTCTTTTGACTTGTCTTAAACCTTGGCAATGAACCCGTGTAATAACACAGCTATCCCAATAAACGTAGGTGTATCAGATCAAAATCCAAGGAAAAATGTAAGACCATTGGATCCCTTCCAATAATTCAGGACAAATAATTCGATAACAGAAGCCACCAGCCATATATCAAAAGCAACATGCCGCAAATGATAATTATGAATTTTCAAAAGAATTATCATTGCTACCTCCCACTTTGAAAAGGCAAAGAGATCTACCTTCTGAAAGACAAAAAATGAATATGAAATATGCAAAAATCTTAATAAATTTTGGAGATCTCCTTATAGCTGATGTTAATTACATAAGCATATAACTTAAAGTCACAAGTATTACAAAGATATCAGAGTTCAAAAATATCAATCTTTTAATTTACATCACAAAGTGTGCAACAAAATGTCATAATATTACATCATCAGAAATATCTTTACCCAGCACCCCCTACTAAGCATGAACATAATCTCCACCACTCCTTGCATCCTTGTGTCAAGACTTTTTCATCTCCTCATAGGCTCGTACATAAATTTAATTTCCAGGGTGACAAAAACAACAGAGAACGGTGACCTAATGGGGATCAGTGAAGAGAGAAAGGGGCCAATACATATTTATAAAGCAAATGCAAATCATTATGATCAGCAATGGCTAATGAGCTGGATCTGGATTGAACACGATTGATTCCATCCAAATAAGATCCTTAATGTTTTCTTCAGTTATTGCTTGCTGCTCAAAATCAAAACTGAAAGGCTTGGAGCAGATTGGCTCGTCATTGATATCGTGAAGAGAGGACAGGTATGGGTGACAGAGTGCGCCATCAACTGTAGAATCCATAAAGTCAATGTCAAAAGAATAATACAAAAGTGACCCAAATGGGTAATAAAATTAAGCCCCTGTTTGGTAGAGATTATAATCAAATTTTTAGTAGATTTTGATAAAAATTGATGGAATTTGTGGTTAAAAAGTTGTGGATCCAATGAAATATGTGATTAAAATTAATTGTTAGACTTTGACTTGAGATTTTAATTGGATTTTAATCTAAACCAAACAGGGGCTCAATGATTTTGTAGTTAAAACAAAAGATATTTTTACCAGTTATACGTTGGTTTGGATCAAACACAAGCAATTTCTCCAACAAATCCAGTGCCAGAGGAGACATGTTGGGAAATCTAACCGACAACTGTTGCTTTGGAAATTGAGGAAGTTGTTTGACATATTTTCGGGCATTATCACTTCGTAGAAACTTAAGGGTCGCATCATCAGGTGTGCCTAACAGCTTTCAAGAAAAAGAAAAAAAATACATGTTATGATACATGCAAAATAAATAAACATAAAAGAAACGCTGCTTAAAGCAGGACTCCATTCGCTAGTTCCTCTCTTTCTGAATCTCCCATTTTTTTTCCCTTTCTCTATTATGGCTTTATAACAATATTAGCAGGCTGAACTGATTTAGATAATGTTTTTACGAAGTTCATAAAAAAATTATTTATGATACAGCTCCTCACTAGTTGTACGTGGAAGATATATGCAATATCTTTAACCATAGGTTTGTAAATATTTGTCTTTCAACATCATCTTAATTGTTTAAATGATTGTGTAAAAATCATAAGCATTGCTCTCAAAATAAAATGCTCAAATTCTCAATTAATCTTCTTTAGAGACACAAAGACTTCAATTAATAAAATCATTATGGAATAAAATAATCAAAGATCAATCAGCTAGAGAAATGACAACCACTGCTATAGAATACTACCTCAGTGATGAGTTTGAGCTGATGTACATAATCTTTGCCAGGGAACAGAGGCTCTCTAGTCAATATTTCAGCAAGAATGCAACCAACAGACCATACATCAATTGCAGCCGTGTATTCTGAGCAATTAAGGAGCAACTCAGGTGCTCGATACCAACGAGTGACTACATATTCAGTCATGAAATCAGTTTCAGAAGTCGTCCTTGCCAAACCAAAATCTCCTATCTTTAGATCACAGTTTGCATTCAGAAGCAAATTGCTGGGCTTAAGGTCCCGATGCAAGACATTTGCTGAATGTACGTATTTCAATCCTCGTAACAGCTGATATAGAAAGTACTACAAAAGTACATAAAAGATTAACGCACATACTATTTCATTAACACTGCAGAGGAAATCACCTATTGCCTTAAATAGACTTATTATAGAAACTCACAATCACTGATAAGAAATAGGACATTTTTATAGTTAGTTTACAACAACCACCTGGACAAAAACACAGTAAAACATTGAACTTCAAAGATAGTATACAAAGTAAACAATTTTTTTTTTTTCACTGAAAGTGAGTAGAGACTAAAACCTGACAATGGTCATCCGTCAGTGTTTGATCGGACCGAATAATCTGATGTAAATCTGTATCCATCAATTCATAAACTATGTACACATCATTAAAAGCATCCTTCTTCGGTGGTCTTATGATATCCTTGATAGCAATAATCTAAGTTAAACAAATCAGAAAAAATCAAAGGAATCAAATTATTGCAGATGCCCATTATGCAATTCTTAGGATTGCAAAGGATAACGAAGTAGTAATAACCATACATTTTCATGATCCATATGGCGTAAGAGTTTAATTTCTCTCAAAGTTCTTTTAGCATCTATTCTGTTATCAAATGCACTTCCAATCTTCTTTATTGCAATCTCCTCATTTGTTTCTTTATTGATGGCAGCACTACAAACATAAAATAAAATGACAAAATAAATTTACTGTAATGACCAAGTCCATAAAACAAAATGGCTAAATAAATATACTGTAACAACCCCGTCCATAAGTATGGAGATTTTCTGCTTTGGGGGACAATTTTTTATACAAAAGTCTACCTACGCCAATTCTGTGGAATCAGTCTTCAAACTCCTATTTCAACAAACTACAAGGCTAGTAAACTGCCACTTGCAGTGCCAGAGGTTTTAGAGGTAAAGAATTTCCCAAATGAGCTAATCACAAGGAAAATGGCAAGTGAAAAGTCACCTTGTAATTGATCGCTAATATTTATTAAGAATTGGGCTTTCATCTTAAAAAGTCAACATTATTTAGAAGAGTGGACTGAGCCCTTAAATGTTTGTTATAGTTTGATATTTAATCGATTTGGATTTACTCCTTCACAATATTCACATATAAAACAATTTCAAAGCAAGCCAAAAAAATGTTCACCCCACAGAAGACCCACTCATAGAGCAAGAAAAATGTAACTTGCATATAAGCAATTAAGGAAATGATAAACTTTCCACATGAATCAATTCTTTAGCGTTTCACTCTTCTGTGAAGGTCGGCCTACATATTTATTCATTTGTCAGCCATTTATATGTCTTGACCGTGCACGAGTGGATGATCAAGCCGGCCTGTGAGCTGAATTAAAATGATCCAGCGGATAATTTGGAGGAAGGAGTGAGAGAGATCAAAGAAATGTTCTTGATGATTGAAATAGGAATTTGCCTCTAGACAAGAAATACAATTTTTGAGGTTGTTTTCTTGTTAAAGTGGAACACTGGTATGGACTTCGAAAAAATAAAGGATTTTCCATGAACAAGACTTAATAGTGTCTATTCTTATCTAATCTTCCCGGCAAAGACTCAAACATGCTACAAGAGTGAAGGAATTGTAATTAAAACAACAATTTGTCTTCCCTAACATCTATCTAAGAAGCCATTCACTCCACCCATTTATCAATAACACATATTACAAAATCACATCACTGAAGAATAAATTTCTCATGCTTCTAGTTCTTCGGGGTTTGGGAGTTGGGGGGGGGGGGGGGGGGGGGGNNNNGGGGGGGGGGGGGGGGGGGGGGGGGGGGGGGGTATTCGAACTAACCACACAAGGCCATAGGCGCCACGACCAATGGGACGTAGTGGAGGAACATAGTTACTGGAGACCTCGAACAAGTTTCCATACAGATTGTAGCGCACGTATTTACCGCCATTCGTTAGAACTCCTTTTATGTTAGAGTTTGTTGAAGCTGAGCTAGTTTCTCGAGCCATGGCTGTGAAACAGAAAAATGGGTTTCCAAGATACGAAGGAATAGTAGTGCTAAGGGGAGGCGACAGCTATGGGGGTGTTTCCGGTAGTCGGCGGAGAGGAAGATGGAGATTTTACTGGGTTTTGAGAGAGTGAACGTTTTGACATTTTGTTGGAAGTTTGAATAAAAAGTGGACACGGTTTGACTTTTCCAAGATCCATTCAAATAAACTTGAATAAAATAAATGGATTAATTTAAGCCACGATCACCAAAGTTTGTTAAACAAATCAAAATGGTCATTAAAGTAATTTTTTTTAACAAGAGTAGACACTCAAGTTTCTAATAATTACGTTAATGGTCATTGGGTAGAAAACGTTGACCTAAAGTCCGGATTGTCATTGTTAAATTCTAGAATAAAGCTATGTGTACACAATTTTTTACATAATATTTTACACCCCCCTCAAGTGTACACATAGCACCACTCTAAATTCTAACTTGGAGATAAATGAACGATATTAATTTGTACGTCACGTTAGACAAAGTCGCATTAACGGTAACTAAAGAGGTAATTTTCAAACAAAAATTTTCTACATTTGAGTTCGTGAAATTACTTTTTTAATCCAATACATTTGGTAAATTTCGTTTTGTAACCTAATCCAAATTTTCTAATCGAATTAGCTTAAATAAATGCTAAAAAAAACTAATTGATTTCAATGGATGACACAATTGACACTTTCTTAGAAAAGTATTCAGGGTTAATATTTGGTGATTAAAATGTGTCAACTAACACATCTAAAAAATATATGAATAAGTCCCTCTCAAATCTTAATTACGCACAACCACCTAAATTATTATAGGACGAGTTTTTGGTCCATCTTTTACTCAAATGTCTCTTTCACAACTTCTCCTAAAGAGCAAGATGGGTTAACGGAGATTTTAATCGCCCAGTTATTTATTGGTGAATCAAGTTGGATCTAACCGATTCATATGACTTTATTTGCACCCATCAATTTGCCTAATTGGTCAGCGAAAATAAGTTTATATTAAAATTTATTAGGTGCAACAACTGAAGTTCTTTTTAAGATAACATGTATTTGTTGTAATGAGCAAAAACTATTTGTTATGATCAAATTTTGTTGCTTAGAACCTATTATAGTTATGTCATCAATAGGGACAGATCCATGATTTTAATGAAATAGGACGGTTGTTGATCGTTGTCCTTTAACGACCATAATAACGAGATCATTTATTAATATTTAAAAAATTCAATTAATATATAAATGCATTAAAATGTAAAAATCATATACATATGAAAATATAATCCAATGCGACTCAAAATAATAATAATAATAAATACATTATACAATCTCACTCCAAGATTGTAAGCTCGGACAATTGCATTATCTGGAGTCTCATATTTTGAAAGGCAAGATTGCTTGATTCTCAATTTTTTCAAAAATCTCTCGTTCCATGTACGCTACCAAATTGTTATTCGATTGGAAAAATTGATGCATAATATGTATGAAAATTAAACATAAATAAACTTAATTTTAAACTATTTTCAATATCAATTGAACATTTATCACAAATCATAAAATCCCTAATTCACAGTCGCATATTCAAAAAATTCACAAATTTCCCCATATTTGACGATCATTATTTGAAAACTCTTTTTTCTACATATTCGTTTTCAGTCGCACATTCATACAATTAAAATTCTAGATATTAATAATAATATAATAAAAATTATTTTACATATCCATCCCACTACCATCTACCTCCCAAACCCTAATTATTTCTCAATCTCTTCTTTCTCTTCTTTAACCCTAAATTTATTTGAGATTTCACCACGGCACGATCTGAAAGCGGCATTTGTAGAGCCCTGAAAATTTCATATAATAGAATTTAATTGTTCTAGATGCTATAATTTATAATTTTATATTATTGAAAGTTGAAGAACAAAAATGATATATTTAATAAATTCAATTTTATTTAGGCCAAATATTTAGATATTGATGGAGCAATGATAAGTATATTAACATGGGACTCATTGGATAGTTCGTATTTAATCATCTATTTTAGACTCGAGATAAGCAAAACTTAAGTTATTGAAATTTAAAGAAGTTGTCATTTATTTAGTATTTGAATAAATTTGGTTTCCTAACTCTAAAAAATGGCAACGGCGTGTATGTATGGTTAAGAAGAGATAAAGTAATTCAATCTTGCTACAGCGACAGACTCAACAATAAAGTCAATGACATAGGAGACACGTGTCAATATATGATTGAACAGTTTGAAAAAATAAAATAACATCCAATCCTGCCTTGCCACCCCACCCTATCAAATATATAAAATTTTGATGTTTTCTTTTACTAATAAAGAATATTTAAAAGTTTACCTTGAGTAAACCCTTTTTACATAAATTTATAAGTAATTATTTTTCACGTTAATTTTTTTTTCAAAGAAATTTTTGGTAGCGATTTGAATATATAATATTTCTAAAAATCCTAGTCTTCCTAGAATTCAGTGGGGGACCTGGCCGTTACCAGGGCCCCCTTCTCCGCAAGTGAATTAATGTCAACTAAGAGCACTTTTCATTTACAATCTAGCTTCAGTTCAAAATACTTGAGTTTGTGGAATGGATGCTGCTCAAGATCTTGATATCATTGTCTTGTACAACTCAATACGTGAGAATCCACAATACTTGGAAGTCCCCAATGAGATGCCATTTGCAGAAACACCTCTCCATATAGCTGCTTCAGAAGGCCGTACCACCCTTGCTCTTGAAATCTTGAGACTGAAGCCGACACTGGGGAACAAATTGAATCTTGATGGTAATACCCCTTTGGACCTGGCCTTGCGTAATAGACACACCACCACTGTGAAGCGACTAGTCAGAAAGGATCCGGACCTCATTCGTGTCCCAGGGAGGGGAGGAATCACTCCTTTGCATTATGCAGCAGAAACAGATGAAAATATTGATCTTTTGATTAGATTTCTTCTCTTATGCCCGTCTTCAATCATGGACTTGACGAATCGAGATGAAACTGCAGTGCATATTGCCGTCCAAAATCAAAACTTAAGAGGTTTTAAGGTTCTACTTGGTTGGCTTCGTAGAAGTGACAACACAAAAGTTTTGAGCTTTAGAGATGAGGACGGCAACACGGTGCTGCATCTTGCAGCATTAACAAACCAGCTGCAGGTATGTTCATTATTATTTAATAAGCACTCAAAATCAATTAACATATCCTATTTCTTGATTCAGGTTATGAAGTTATTAGTTGGAATGGTAGATGTGAATGCCAAGAACGGAGAAGATAATACAGCCTTGGATATCGTAGAGGACCTAGACCCACAGTGTCAAAATGTAGATGCAAGGGAAATTTTAAGGCGCGCACGAGCTAAACACGGTACATCACCTGGCAAGGATGCTACCAGCACCACCAGGATGACTTGTGAAGATTATTTGAGTTCAGGGGGAACGCTGATGGAAACGTTATTCAAAGTGGGTGCTTACATGCAATTCAGTTTGTCAGGGGATATGCGAAATTCTGTCCTAGTAGTAGCTGTGCTGATTGCGACTGCTACATATGAAGCTGATCCAACTCACTCTTCTACTGTGATCAATGCAACTAGCAGTAGCACCATCCAGTGGAATGAACATCCAGTGATTGCAGTGTTGAACACATTGGCCTTTGGTATGGCAATTGGAACGTGTGTTCTACTCACATTTAATCCGCTCTTTTTATTTCTCTACTTTCCTCTCGGCATCTTCTCGTTCAGCTATGCAGCTACAGGGTATGACGGACTATCATCACTTGGTGCTGTAATTATCTTCATTCCATTGATAGTGTCAATCGGACTGCCAGTGATGATGATAGTTCCTTGGAATATTGTACGACGACATAAATGGGAAATTGAAAATCAGACATCATCTGAATACAGCCTTGATGAGGTGAAATATCGTGTATTTACCAGTAAATATGCATCAAGGAAACTGCAATAGATTGGCTACGAATATCAAGATGAAGGAACTGCATCAATTTTAATTTCCTGTTGGTATAAGCACATTAAGTAACTTAAATAATTAACCTCATGAGTGTATTTCCATATTCATAAGGATCTTGATTGCATCATGTAAAAAGCAAAATAAATGTGGATGTTCATTCATTATGCAGTGTTATGGAAGATGAGATCTTGTCTTCCTCCCTAAGTTGATATTTCATTTTCTAATATAGTTGTCATTCTTGCGTATTTTTTTGGCCCCAAATCTGTAACAACCCGGGTCTGTTCTCAAACCGTTACTCAAATTTTTTCATCTTATCTCCGTTATTCCAATTTGAGATCGATTTAAATTGAATCCTCGTACCAATTGAGCAACTTAACTTATAATCTAACTTGACATCCCTTAAGCGCCAAAGTCAACAATTTAGTATTCATTATGATTTGAACTGCCCTTCAACTGAATACTAATTTCTCTATTCTACTTCCAATTCTTCACAAAATGAAGTCTTTCTGCGTGTATCCTCTCAGCTCACCATTTGTTTTTAATATTCATAAACCTTCTTCAGAGATTGATAAGAACAGAAGTAACCACTTCATATTGCAATCCGCCTTTCCCAGGGAGCTCACTTTCTCAAATGTATTGCTTTCACTGCGTACAAGTATTGAGAATAGAAACCCTATTCTAGGTTCTAGTCTTCATGCCAAAATACTCAAGTTAGGACTTGATGCTGATGTGTTTCTCAGCAACTCTCTTTTAGACATGTATGTAAAGTGTGGCCAGATTAACGATGCTACAAATCTGTTCGACCATATGCCTCACAGAACTATTGTCTCGTGGACTTGTGTGATTTCGGGTTATTGCCAGAACGAATTGGTAGATGAGTCGATATTGTTGTTTTCGAGGATGTTGGACACTCTGCAGCCTAATGAATTCACTTTGGCAGTGCTTTTAAAGGCTTGTGCGGTTAAGGGTGACGAAAAATTGGTTGAAGTTGTTCACTGTTACGCAATAAAATATGGGCTTATTGCAGATGATTACTTGCAGAATTCCTTAATTGACGCATATGCTAAATCTGGGATGTTGGGGGCTGCAGATAGGCTCTTGGATAGACTTTGCAGCAGAGATGTGGTTTCCTGGACTTCTGTAATTTCAGGCTGTGTATATAATGGAATGCTCGAGAGAGCAATTATAATGTTTTTCGAGATGCAAGAAGATGGGGTCATTCCAAATGAGGTAACAATGCTGAGCATGCTACAAGCCTGCTCTGAAATTAACACTTGGGAGATGTTTTGCTGGATCCACGGATTGATTTTGAAGCAAAATTGGTGTAAAAATGCTCTGGTGCTGAATTCTTTTATTGAGATGTATTCTACCAATGGGTACTTCAATGAAGGCATGAGAATCTTTTGTGATATGTGCTTTACTGGTGAAGGTTTATATCCAAGTACAGAGACTATAGCAAACCTTCTTCAGGGGTGTGCAAATTCCAGCTTTTTGAAGCTTGGGAAAGAAATTCATGGATACTTAATCAAACATAAGTTTCTCCCTTGCACTGTTATTGGAAATTCACTTATAAACATGTATGCTGAGATCAAATACACGGACTGTGCCTTGAAACTCTTTGTAAGGATGGCCAACAGAGATATCGTTACATGGAACACCATTATTAGATGTTTTGTAAAGAATGAACAGCCAATTGAGGCACTGAAACTCCTTGGTGAAATCAACAAAGATCATCTACAAGATAAAGTTTCTCCAGATTTCATTACGATGCTTGCATCTCTAGAAGCCTGCTCAAACTTAGCATTGTTGCAAGAGGGCCAAATAATACATAGCTATATAACTAAAACAGGCTTGCTCAATGATATTTTTATCCAAAATGCTTTGATAGAAATGTATGCAAAATCAGGAAGGCTAAATTTAGCAGAGAATATCTTTAACGAAATGCATGAGAGAGATCTGAGCTCCTGGAATTCAATTATCGCAGCCTATGGTATCAACGGAAATGGAACCTTTGCACTGCAGATTTTTTGTGACCTCGAAACATCAGAAACCTGGAAACCTAATGCAGTCACATTCGTCAATATTCTTTCAGCATGTGCTCATGGAGGATTGGTGGAAGAGGGTTTTGCAATATTCAATTCTATGGAGAAACATTATGGTATAAAACCGAGTATGGAACACTATGCTTGCATTGTGGATCTGTTGGGAAGGATTGGGAGACTTAAAGAAGCTGAAGATTTCATAGATAAGATGCCAATAAATCCCAGTCCGGATGTTTGGGGGACTTTGTTGGGTGCATCTGTACTCTTTGATAACATTGCAATGGCTGAAAAAGCAGCAAAAATGCTCGCTGTTTTGCAACCAATGAGCAGCATTTGGAGGGTGGCATTATCGAATGCATATGCGTCTGTTGGAAAATGGCATGAGGTAGCAAAACTAAGAGTAGAATTGAGAGGATTAAAACAGTTCAGGAAGGAAGGAGGTTGGAGTAGTGTAAACATTGGAGGATACGAATTCAGCTTCATGGCAGGCGATACACGGCATCCAGATAGTGAAACAATCTATGAAGTTATAAATGGATTGCAGAATCATATGCAAGATGCTGCCTTTTTTGATAATAGAGTTGCATTAACTTGTTAGAGTTGTTCAGTAATGGTACATGTATATTCAGAAAGTACTTAGCAAGAAAAATGATTATAGGTTACATTTTTTTGAACTTCCTACAATAAAATCAAGCTTCTATGAGCACTAGTAAGTAGTAATCCAGAAAAAATACCATTTGGTACCCCCACCAAAAGGCGTAATATTCAACACTCCGATAACATCTCTCTAACAACTTGATACTGTTTGCCTGTTTGGCTAAGCTTAAACAAATTACTTATAAGGAATAAGTTCTAAATAAGTAATTTTTGGGTTAGTAAAATATGAAAATGCATTATACTGGTGCAATATTTGTAAAAGAGTTCGTTACTGATCCATCATCCATTTGGGAAGCTGTTTACACCAATGATATTTATTCCCATTTAGTATTTATTTTTTCTTGGAAATAGCAAGCTTGTCCTCACCTCCTGATGGATATAATCATTGGATAAGTGACAAAAATCAAAAGAATTCATTATTTAAAACCAAAATAAGCATAATCAGGAGAAAAGGAGATCAAAGACCTTTTGCATTTATTTGTCTCTTGAGTTTCCTTACATGGTCCAAGAAACATTCAAACTCTCATCTTTGTCTGTCAAATTTATAAAAGTTAAATCCTCTCAAAAAACAAAAAAGGGGGATATAAATAGAATAAAAAGACTCAAACACGAATTATGGGACCCTTTTTAGAGAGATGAAGGATAAGATGATAGTCGATAGAGTAGTTCTATGCTTGATGATGTAGGGTAAATTTCCTGCCCACCAAGATGTCCTGCTGCTTGGTCCCAAAAGTAAAAATTGAGACGTTGTGTATCAACCCATTCATTAAGCTCCTTCATTTTTCTGCTACAAGATTGGCTTTGAATTAATTGTTGAATCAAGAAAAATATGCTACGAACTCTGTTCACAAGGTCCAAAGTGCAAACTGCAAAGAACTCTGTTCATTCAATAAATAAAATTTTTGCGAGCACAAAAACAACAATACTATAACAGAAAAATTCCAATAAAGCAAACATACACACATGTACAACAAACCATCATCAACGCTAAGTAATAAAAACCTTGTATAAACACAAGTAAATTAACTAACCAAAAGAGAAAGAGAGAGGGAGGGAGGGAGAGATAGAGAGAGGTGACTCATAGAGTCGGTAGCACAACGAAGATGCAGTGGGTTAGTGGCGGGAATCGGTGAGGCTTGAAAGGCGACAACCGATAGCAAGTCGCATGGGCGAGAGGGAGTGAGTAAAATAGGGTTTGGAATTGCGATTTGTTATTTCATTTTGCAATTGAATTAATTGTTACGATTAAACAACATATACCCATTAAACGAATTAGCAGCTGCATCCAGTGTGGGTAAGAAGAAGCCCATACTTAAAAAGAAAAAAAAAAAAAAAAAGCTCAATCCATTTACCTGTGATCTTCCAAATTCCTTCATGTACGGTACTTGAATTTCAATCTTCAAGCTGCCTCCTTGGCTCCGGCAACAACTGTAAATTCCGGTGAAGCCAGCACGCGCGGCCGTGCCTCGTGCATGACACGTAAGATAATGCATAAAACATGCATATTTAACACAATCAGTTACAAGTCAACCAATAGAAGATTGTCACATGTTACTTTCCAAAAATGGCCAAATTTCCCCAAAGTGGTAGATAAAATCTATAAATATGAGAAAAGCATTCAAAATTCAAATATTCCCATCCCAAATAGTCATTTCTCCTTTTGTTCCTCTTTTAGCATCAAAACCAAAGAATTTGGGGGGCGAAAATCCAGACTAGTTCAGAATAATTTGTTGATTGAATTTTTACCGTCAACATTAATGTCATTCCTTTCATTATTTTTTTTCTTTTTTCAACTCCAGGCTCATGTTTAGTAGACATGGTACACCTGTTGTTCGATGATTAGCCTAAAAAAAAATAAAAAATAATAATAATTTCAACACAATTAAAGTTTTTAAGATATTGAGTATGTACAATTGATCCAACATATAACACTACGTGCTCTTGTGCAATTAATCCAACATACATCACTACATGCACTGTGCCAAATGTATCAAGGGCCCGTTTGACATAACTTTTATTTTTACTTTTACTTGTAGAAATTTTTTTTAAAGATGTTACTTTAATTTTTAAAAGTGCTTCCTACTTCGAAAGTCATTTTAAAGGAAACCACATTATACCAACTCCTTTAAAAACTCTTTTAACTATTAAAAATACTTTCATAAAATTTACTAAAGGAATCTAAAAGTAGCTTTTAGGTCTCAAAAGCTCATTTTGGCTTTTTAAAAGTTATGCCAAATGAGCCCTAAGAATGCTACATTGACATTGCAAGTTAAAAACACTCCCTCACAAACAAATTTTCATATTCAAAAATTACAAATTCTCTCAAACAAGTTGGAAATAACGAAATACCTGAATTTACTAAATCAGTTTCCAAATCAGTGATTCACAATTTTGAGCTGCCTCAGCAAGGCACGGAAGAGATGTTCATTAGTATAGAAATTGTAAATATATGTGCACTCACATGAAGCATTAAAATGAACAAGGTACGTATAAATGATAAATATAAATTATTTGAAGTTGAGAAAATGTCCATTCTTTGCATAAATATGATATAAGAAACGAATTTTCATATATTTAATGCAGCAAGTGTTGCATAGGATTCACCCTCCAAATGAATTTGCATTTTGCATTCCATAATTATATAAAAGTGAAACCACACGAATTGACTAAGTTTCATTAAATGAAGATTCGATACTAAAGGCTTTCATCACAATTAAGATTATCAATATTTGGAAAATAGATCAGTGAAGCAAGTACGACATTTCACCAAGCTATACACCTACACGAAGAAGAAATTTACTTCTTTAACAAATAATTTGGCTTATCAAAAATTGGTAAGAGAAATAGTAAAAGCAAGTGAGAATACCATGTTATCTAATTTTTCAAATGAAAAAATAAATAAATAAATAAATTGATCGATTTTAAAGACAGAGAGTCAGACAAGAGAAAACATTTGTGCTAATAGAGCCCACCACATAATGCAGCTACAAGAAACAACATTCTAATTACTGGCTATGCCTATAATGTCTCTGTTAGAATTTAGGTGCGATTTGAATTCTTTGTTGAAGGTAATTGAAAATTCTAATTAAAGTGCACGTTGATGAATTCTATTTGGAATGCTAATGTGTAATCCTATTTAAATTTACTTGTCAAATTCTAGTTGAAGTTATATTTGAAAGCCCTATTGTGAACTGAAATTTTGTAGGACTTCAAAATGTCAAGATTTGGATTTGGGCATCAATTTGAGCAAAGGAACAAACATTTTCCCAAGAATCAGTGCACCGACGCCATACAGGCAACGCTGCCATTATTGTTCGACCTCCGCACGCTGCAAGCTAGTTGCTCGACTGCGCTCGAGCATTACTGCTTTCTAAGGTTAGATCCATTTTGCATTTTACACTCGTTTTTTGCATCCTTTTCCTTATACAACACCAAGACCCGGGTTTTGAAGTCCACTACTTGATCTCTATACATACTTGGCTCTTCATTGTATTTTAAACTAAGTTAGACAAATCATAAATACAAATTTTTTGTATTTTTTCTTTATATTATAATAAAATCTTCATTATTTGCAAATTATATTGTTCTTGTGTTTTAAGATCTTTATTTCATATTGTGCCTATAATCTCTCGCATTTTCTTCAATAAACTGGTATCAGAGCCAAATGCTTGAAAATTCTTGGGAGATCAAAATTTTGATCAAGTTAAGACCTCAGCTTGATCTTTCGTTATGACAATTATGAAATGTGATATTCCGCTATTAGAACGCAATACATGATTCTCTTTATAGCATGTAAAGATTCTATTAGTACTTGCTCAAATAGATTTGGACGACGCGTTGTTAGGATTGGACAAGATGTCCACAACTTGAATTCCAGATGAGAAACAATAGAGGGACCGAAATGCCCTATCTCAAATATATCTTCATCTTTCAAATAATTTTCTTTAGGACGTTTTAAAGTAGAAGTCAGCCACAGCATTATGGTTAGAATTGGAGCAATTATGCATGACGAAAAGTCATACTAACAAATTGAATATAAAGCAATATCTATATTCTTATCGTATGATATAAGGTATATCTCTAGAGGATCATCTAGCTATTTTTAAGAAAATCATCGCTGATTTGGAGATCTTGGATGTTAAATATGATGAAAAAAATTTGTGATTGATTTTATTATGTTCATTGCCCGATTCATACATGTCGTTTAGAGATACGATTTTATATAGCCGTGATACTCTCATCATCGAAGAAGTCTACGATACTCTATATTCAAAGGAGAAAATGAAGCATCTTGTTGTATCTGAAGTTCATGGAGATATCTTCATTATTGATGGTGGTCGTGCAAGGAGCAACTCTAGATCTAACTTTGAATTTTGTCATTATTGCAAAAAAAAAAAAAGTTGCATTTGAGAAACGATTGTTATAAGTTTCAAAAACTCAAAAGTTTCAAAAAATTGCAATGACTGTAAACCAACAATCAAAAACTTCTAGCAAAGCAAGTATTGCAAAAAATCATAAAGGTGATGAAGAGCTTTTACTTATGTCTGACTTCAACTCCAAACTTAATGAGGATTAGATTCTCGATACAGCTTGCACTTGTTATATGTCTGCTAATCGGAATTTGTTTTCAACATATGAAAAAGTTTCAAAAGATGATGTGATGATTGGTAATAATACACCATGTCGAATAGTTGGTATTGGTCGAGTCATCATAAAAATATTTGATGAGATTGTTAGAACACTTGATGCAACGAGGCACATTTCAAATCTGAAGAGAATTCTTATTACCTTCAGTACAGGTACACCGTTGAAGGTGGAGTCTTGAAGATTAGTAAATGAGCCCGTGTTTTGTTAAAGGGGCATAGAAAATTTCATTTATATATCTTACAGTGTTATACAAAATTTTTTGAGCAGTCAACATATTTTAAGAGCATATGTGGA